AGTATGATTGCATTTCTGTGGGAGGGAGAAACAACTCTCTTTATGTGTATATATAATGATTGCGAACCCTCACTGACATGGGATGCTGGGCACTGCTTCGTTTCATTGTGTCTATGATCACTGCTCCCCTCCTCATTTATGCCCACTTGTGGACAGCAGGGCATATTGAAAGTGCAAGGAGATACCTCCAAAGCTGTTAATAGTGGTTGGTTCTGAGAAGGGTGTGGGAGGGAGTACGTATTATGTAGTCTGCATTGCTTTGAATCCTCTTCAAGGAACATGCTTCTTTAATTACAAAATATGCATTTGGTCATCAAAAATCTGGAATAACATACACGGAAATGTCAACAGCGGTTACATCTGGGGCACATGAATCTGGGAAACTGTCTACCTTCTACACTATACAGTTTGGTGGTATTTGAACTTTATGCAGTGAGCAGAGACTGCTTTTGTAAGCAGAAAGACCAATTAAGACCTAACAAAAAAAGAAGCGTAAAGAGGAAGAGGTGAGTCAGCAGCGCTTCTGGGATCCCCAGCAGCTTCAGGAGGGGCCCCGCCTAACTTCACAAGCCCATTTTCCTCCTGTCCCCCTCCATCCCCACTGCACACATCCTTACTGGAGAGCCTGTGCCTGGCCCGGGCACCAACTGTTCCTGCCTTTCTCCCTCACAACCTCTAAACCAGGCGCTGCCGATCCTGGCCCACAGGGCCCTCACCCTCCTTTAGCAGCTCTGTAGTCTAGGGAATCCCTTCCCGTACCAGCTCACATTTAATCCTCCCAGTGACGCTGTGAGGTGGATATTCTCATGCCCATTGCACAGATGCGGAAACTGAGGCTCAGCAAAACTCAGCTCCTTGCCCAAAGCCACAGAGTGAGACTGTGATTGTATCTGGGCCCCAATTCCCAGGCCAGCTTCACCAATGCTGCATCGGGTTCAAGCTCATGTTGGGAACTTGAGTCTCAGGATGTAAAACAGACCTGTTGAATCTTGCTTAGACACATGAAAGGGCAGGTGTGCTCAAGAACCCACAGCCATGGGCGCCTGGGTGGCTCAGTCGGTTTAGCGACTACCTTCGGCTCAGGTCATGATCCCAGGGTCCTGGGATCAAGTCCCACATCGGGCTCCCCACAGAGCAACTCCCCGAGTTGCTTCTCAACCTCTCCCACTCCCCCTGCTTGTGTTCCCTCTCTCGTTGTGTCTCTCTCTGTCAAATAAATAAATAAAATCTTAAAAAAAAAAAAAAAAAAAAAAGAACCCACAGCCAGGCAGCTGAGACCGGCCGGAGCCTTGCCTGGCACTGCCCAGGCCTGGGGCTGAGCCTGAAGTGAGAGCAGAATGGAAGGCTGTTGGGCCCAGATGGAGAAGGGTGGGAAAAGGCAATAGGAAAGGGGGGCGGACAGCCCATGTGCTTACAAGACAGGAGCAGGCAAACCCTACCGTCTAGGAGAGTGGGTAGGGCATGGGCTGGGGCAGGATCCTGCATAGGACTCTGAGCAAATCACGTAGTACCTCTGGGCCTCCGTTCTCTCATCTGGAAAATGGGCATTATAGTAGCACCACCTTAGAGCATAGTTCTGAGGACGAAGTGAGGAATCCTTGTGATGCATTCAGCACGATGTCCGGACATAAATACAGGCTAAAAAATGCTTCTTGCTGTTGGTGAGTGAACTGGTTTGCTCAAACCCATTCAGTTCCTTTTGATGAACATACACTAAGAGCCTGCTCTGAGCCTGATCCTGGCGATACAGAGATAAGATGGATGAAGCTCCTGTTCTCACTTACCTTACGAGCCCTCAGGGGAGGCTAGCCCAGAAGGAAGCCCACCATTCCTGTGGGCCTACAGTGTGGAGGAATAATGACGGGGGTGGAGTTAGACAGATGCTGTGGGACCTCGAATGCCAGGCTAAACCATCTAGGCCTTCTCGTGTCTGCCTGGGAGCCATAGCAGGTCTTAGAGCAGGGGAGTGGCAGACCCAGTCACCTCACTTGGAAATGAAGTCTTGCTGCCTGCAGCCGGCAGGGCTTCTGAGCTGTCGAGGCAGGAACAGTGAGGGAAAAGGGTGGGACACGGAGGCCTACCCTGGGGCGGGGACAGTCTTGGCTGCAGGGACAGTCTTGGCTGCAGGGAAGGGTGCGGGTGGCCTGGGTGAGGCCACACGGAGGGTCAGGGAGGGGTTCAGCCCTGGAGAAAGCGGCAGGGGACGAATCCCTTCCGACTGAAGCAAAGGCGGAGCTACTGGGTCTACTTGGGGAGGGGGCTGATCATTAGAGTCTATCTCAGGTGATCTCATTTCCTTTCTGCTTTTGTGTGTTTCCCCTTTCCTACACTGAGTAACTAGAAGAGAGGGGGCAAGCCATCACTGTCTGGGAGCCCCAGGGCAGGAATCAGGTGGCCTGTGTCACCCAAGGGCAGGGGAGCTGCTCTGGGGCAGCCGGAGAGAACAAGCCAGACTCGGGGGAGTGAGCTCCAGGGACCAGGGGAAGAGCCTGGGCAGCCTGGCCCGTCTGAAGCTCAGTGCCTTCAGGGTCCCCAGGGGACAATGACACCATGGTAGAGGCAGGGGGTGGAGTGGAGGTGTCTGGGCTCCCCCGCCCCCAACCCTCTGGCTCCAGGCATGTCTGTGTCCAGGTCCTCTTCCTCCCAGACATGGGCCAGCTCAGCACAATCCCGCAGGGTGCCTGGCAGGGTGCCCAGAAAGGCAGGCCGGGGTCCAGCCCCTGGCTGCCTGCCCCCTCAGCCTCCATTGGCCCAGTTGCCCCAATTCCGGACAGCCTATTTGTCCTGGGGCAGCCCAGTCAAATGGGAAAGTCTGGCTCATGTTTATCAGGAAAAGACCAAGACTCACTCCAGCAAGAAGCCGTGGCAGAAGCTCTGCCCCGTCACTTGGTGGGTTCGGCATGAGCCCCGCATATGCCACCAGCTGACTGAGTTCCCCTTTCTGGGCCTCAGTTTGCCCTTTGACTCCTGAGCCAATCCATGCATTCATTCCCACGCACCGCCTCCCCACCTCCCCCCCCCCCCCCGTGGGCATCTACTGAGTGTCAGACCTGCAGATGGCATTCAAGAGACAGTGAACCCAGATCCCAGGACTTGGGGAGTGTCCGGCCTGCTTACGCCCTCGGCGGGCCCGGGGTGCTGGGGACACGGGGCGGGGTGGGGGAGTGCTGCGCTTTGCGTGAGGATGGGAGCCCTGCTTCCCGCTGCATCCGCCGCCACAGGCGCCCAGAAGAGGGCGGCAGAGAGCGGGCTCCGAGCTGCAGGGAGCCCGTGACCTTGGCAGTCCGCGAAGGCGGAGGCCTGGGAATTTTCAGGCTCACTGCTGTCAGGAAAAAGTTTCACAAGTGCCTCCCGCACAGCAGCGTTTTCTCGGTTCCGGGCCCCGGGCAGCCGACACCCCCACACTCTGCAGTCCGGGGAGGAACCCCTCCCAGGGCAGGCTGGGGGGGGGCAGTCCAGGGATGAGGCAGGAATGCCCGGCTGGGACCACACCTGGGAGGGGGCAGTGGAAAGGCCAGGGAGGGCAGCCCCGCCGGGTCACCCGTGGGCGGGGTGACCGTGCCCCCGGGGCTTGGGCTCGTCCTGGGAGCACGGGGCACCCTGCAGGTCTTTGCCTCGTTTTCTAAAGATCCTGGGGGTGCTGTGGAGGACAGACTCAACAGGCACACAGACACACACTTGTGTTCTCACGCCCCCGGCCGCACACTCAGACACGCACACACTGACACATTCTGACACACTCGGATGCGCACACACGGACACATCCAGGTATCCACGAACACACATTTCCGGATCACACGTAACACTTTCACACAAACACCCACACGCGAATGCACCCCCAGCTCACACTCTCACCAGTATGCTCACACTCACTCGGGTGTATACACTCAGCTCACACATTCACACTCTCAAACGCATGCAAACACACACCCGTGTTCACACAACTCCCACAGTGCTCACGTACACAACTCACATGTATTCAGTCACACACGTTCACACACATTTGGCCCCGCCCGGAGATGAGCGGGTGGAACCGGCGGGGGGAGGGGGGGGTGTCTGTGAGCTCTGGGGTGTGCCGGGGTTCCAGAGCTGGTCCCAGCTCTCAGCATCTGTGACCCACTGCTTCCCCCTGCCCACTTCCTAAAGGGATTTGAGATGGTTTAGAAGGTTAAATCCTGCCCCCAAACAGGAGGGTAGGAGCCTCAAAATCATTACCCTTGCTTCTCCAGGCCCAGGGCCTTCTAACCTTGTAAGGACCTGGGGGTCTGTAGTTGCCCCAGGCCCAGCCCTGCCCAACCATCCCAATGCACTCTCTCTCCTCCCATTTGTCCCTTCTCTGTGCCAGCATGACCAGCGCCACCTGGGCTGCCCTGGGGCCACCAGGCTCTGCTCCCCCTCCCTCCTCCCTGAAGACTGCTGGGCTGGAGGACATTTGCACAACGTCCTCCCAAAGGGTGTTTGTCATTCACCATCGCATAGGCCCCTGGGCTGAAATCTGGGCTTTGAGCTCTCTCTTCCTCAAGGTGAGTTCCCTGCCACCCAGGACCCCGCAGTGCTGAAGCAGAGTGCCTCCCCTCATTGTTCTAGATTCTCAGTCCTCATGCTCTGCTCTTCCGACCCTCGGTCCCTACACAACCCGCCACCGCTCCTCAATGAGGGGATAAGTTCCTGGAATTCAAATAAGCTACCCAGTGACACATCCTGACACTCCAAAGTTGCTCACGTGGGTATTTCAGTCAGCTCGTGCTGTATAACAAACCAACTCAAAACTCGGTGGCTTAAGGGGTGCATGCATGGCTCAGTCGGTTAGGCGTCTGGCTCTCGGTTTCAGCTCAGGTCATGATCTCATGGGTCGTGGGATCAAGCCCCGAGACCAGCTCCACGCTCAGCAGGGAGTCTGCTTAAAGAGTCTCTCCCCCTGCCCCTCCCCCCACTACTGCAAGTACGTGCACACACTCTGAAATAAATACATAAATCTTAAACAAATAAAAACAGCAATTTATTATTTCTCATGATTCTGTGGGTGGGCTGGGCTCATCTGGGTAGTTTTTCTGCTCCACATGGTGTTGGCGCTCAGGCAGGTGCATTCAGCGGCTTCCAGCTGGACTGACTTCAGGCATGGCTGGATCCAAAGGCCCAGGTAATGTCATCAGGACTGCGTCACACTTTGTGTTCAGTGCTCTGCTTGGCTGGGACTAGGAAGTCCAACATGGCTTCCCTTACATGGCTGGTGCTGTCAGTATGGTGAATGGAATATCTAGAGGCTGCCCAGGCCTCCTCTCTCATATGGTCCCTCCAGTAGGGTGGCCAGACTTCTTTACACGGGAGCTCAGGGTCTAAGAGAGCAAAAGCAGAAGCCGCAACCCTCTAAGACCTAAGCTTGGAACGAGCACAGCGCCACTGAAGCCTCTGTTGGTCAAAGCAAGTCATACAGCAAGCCAGGCTTCATGACTTAAGGGGAGGGAAAATGGGGGGGACTGTCACACACACACAGCTGAGAAGAGTCACTGGCAACCGCTTCTGCAGGCACTCCACCACCACGGGTGTGCGCATTAAGCTCCCAACACGTTTCCTAGGAGAGAAACTGAGCAGCACGTATATCCGGCCCCTGGCATGATTTTACATTCCTCATCACAAAATTCCTATCTCCACTTCCAGGGCGAATTACATTTTGGTTAGTGTATTATGGGGGGCTATTCCATCTGCAAGTGATGGGAACCCAGCTCCAACTGTCTTGAGCCAAAAAGATAACATATTGACTCATATGCTGGGAAATTCAGGGATGAACATGGCTGGATCCAGAAGCTCAGATCATGTCATCAGGCATGTGTCACACTTTCCATCCTTGCTCCTCTGTCCTCTGTGTTGCCCTTTTCCCCTTATTCTCAAGCAAGCTCATTCTACAAGATGCAAAGATGAGGTCACCAGCAAATTAAAAAAAATAAGAAGAAGAAGATTTTTTTTTAAAAAAGGAGGTGGTGCCTGGCATGTTCAGTCAGTGGAATATATAACTCTTGATCTCAGGTTTGTGAGTTTAAGCACTACAATGGGTTAGAGATTACTTAAAAATAAATTAATTAATAAAATAAAATAAAATAAAAATGGTCCCCATCAACTTCAGATTTGCATATCAGTTTTGTACCTCCCACGGAAAAAATGATATCCCCCACCCCTCAATAATTTCAGCAAAAGAACCAGGGGTGTCATTCAATGACACGGACTTCACCATGATCCAATCTAGGAAACAATCATCGAGACTCCATTTAGCAGGCCTGGGCACTGTGCCCTCCCCCTAAAGGAGAAGAAGGGGTGAAATTAGCCCCAGCAGAAGAACCACATGGACTGAAAGCAAAAGAAAAGCAGGTGATGTTACCATAGGAGGAGGAGGGCAAACACAACAGAGCTCCACTGCATTATGCACTTGGTTAACAGAGAAAGAAGATCATATGAGCTCAGCTGGAGATAAGCCTTTTCCTGATTCTGAATTCCAGAATGGATGTCTTTGTAGGAGTTAAATCCAGGGCATTTCCCAACATGGCAGACAACAGCTTCACCTCCATTTTTGCAGAGATAATGGAACTATCCTTCAAGTATGCATTTCATAAATTCCCAACCTGTGAAAGTCAATGACAAAACATTTCATTGCCCCAAGGAAAGGCAATTTTGTAGGTCGCTGAGCTCACAGGTTCCCAGTGAGAAGCTTCCAAATGTCAGGGTGGTGTTCAGTCAGCCTGAAGAACAGAGAGGCTGTCCCTCCTCTCACATCAGGCATCTCTGCAAGCCTTCCCTGCCTTCCCTCAGCAGTCTCAGCGTGTCCTATGCCACTCAAATACCTGCTTTGGGTCAAGAGCAAGGGTTCAGACTTTGGCTACAGTGATAGAAGGTCAAGACTCACAAACTACTGAACTTTTAGAGCTGAAAGAGATCAGAAATATCATGCTAATTCTTCCATTCTCCCCTTCCACAAAGATGGACTTGTTAGCTTGAACGGTAGCTACCCAGCATAAAGACTATATTTCCCATCCTCCTTTGCCACTAGGCATGGCCATGTGACTTAGTTCTGGCCAATGGGATGCAAACGTAAACAGCACCTGGGAGCTTCTGAGGCTCTTCTTTTGCCCTTTCTATCTTTGTCCCTTCATCTTTCTTTTCTTTTCTTTTCTTTTTTTTTAATTTTTTAAGTAATCTCTACACCCAGTGTAGGGCTTGAACTCACAACCCCAAGACCAAGAGTCTCACGCTCCACCAACTGAGCCAGCCAGGTGCCCCTTCCTTTCATCTTTCTGACTCTTTCCTATCTTCCGTCTTCCTGGAATGTGGGTATGATGGCCACCATTTTGTACCATGAGGAATAGGGCCACACCATAGCGAAGGTGGATGTGAACCAGAAGGATTTAGAGAGCCACTAAGCAGCCCTGGACCACCCATCTTTGTATTTCTTTGGAGGTATAAATAAGCATCCAAGTTGTGTAAGCCATTATTGTTTTGTACTTATGTTTCCTGTAGTCAAATCTAATCCTCGTTGAGACATTATCTCTTCTGACTTTCCCGTGTCATTTACCACCATCCCCCAAATACACAGAATTCTCTCCAAACCATTGCTTAAAGGATAATTTGTATAGCTCACACAACTGCTACCTCTCAAGGTCATTTCATCTCAGGAATAGAATTGTTGGGGATGTGTTAGAAAATTCTTACTCATCTTCATTCATTCCATCTGCATACAGCCAAGCGCTCAGGACAGCCAGAGTCCTGCTGATGGCGCTCATGGGCTCCCAGGACTTCTTTTCTCTGATTCTCTTCCTTCCTCACAGGGCCTGCCTGCTTTCAGCACATTCCTCATGGCATTTCCCAGAGCCCCATGGGAAAAGACGCCCACGTCCACAGCGCCCTGGCACATGGGTGAGGCTTTGGGTTTGCATGGAGCTTTTGATTCTGTGATGCAGTAATATTATATATCAATGCAAGTGGAGATACTTGGATTATGTGATAAGAATTCCTCACAGCTGCCTAGCAGCTTACACACTTGATAGTAATAGTAATAATAGAGATAGCAATAATAACATCCCCTTTACAGAAATTTAAAGGAATACATAAAATGTAACATGAAAATGCAAAGTAAAAATAGGAGCAGGATGGGGCACCTGGCTGACTCAGTCAGCGAAGGATGTGATTCTCGATTGTGAGTTCAAGCGCCCCATGTTGGGTGTAGAGATTACTTAAAAATAAAATCTTAAAAAAAGTAAGAGCAGAAGAATAAAGAAAGAGGACGGGTCAAAAAATATAATCAGATCAATAAATATCAATCATCTACGCACAGAGCACAACTAGATACTTTGCTGCTATTTATCGAGTGCTTATTCTTCACAAGGTCCTGAAATAAACAGGGGGCGCTGTGTGATTACATTCCCACAAGTCTCGTGGCAGTTAAATATTATTATTGCTAACTTGCAGATGATGACAATGAACCTCGGGGAGGTTAAGAGCCCTTTCTAAGGTCTCTTGGGCGCTAATGGTCAAGTCGGCTCCTTGACCCCCACGCTTCCCACCGTCTTTCCTCCTCATTCCTTTAGGCAGACTGGCACCGCAACCTGGAACACTTTTCCCTGCCCCTTTCTTGGTGACACTGGCACTTTCTCCTCCATATCTCAGCTTAAAAGTCACCTCCTGGGTGAGGCCTCCCCTGACCTCTGATCTCTTCCCTCTTGGATAGTTCATTCACAGTAAGTCTCCTCAGCACACACCACAGTTTATAATTAGGTGTTTCTTCAACCCCCATCCCCCTGCCCTGTGAGGCCAGGGATTGCATCTGTCTTGGCTGCTGCTGAGTCAGCCGCACCTAGAACAGAGCCTGGCACATTCCAGAGCTGAAAGCGTGGTGAATGAACGATAACCAGTGTCTGTGGCCGCCAGGTTACCCTACCTTCCAGGAGGCCTCACGGAGGCTCTGACTCCTGGGACCAAAGGGTCCCTCAGAGCTCGCCTCGTCCCATCCCTGCTTCCTAGAAAAGGGGAAACTGAGGCCAGAGAAGGCAAGGGACTTGTCAGGGCCCCTCAGTGGCTAGACACAGAGCTGGGGGGACAGCAGGGGCCTGGTTCCGGGCCGAGGGACTGACACCAGTGGGCACCCTCAACTGGGTCAGGTTTGTATCTGTGAAGGGATGAAGTAAGGTGGAATGCCCCCTAATGTGGCGGGTAGGAGGGGCTGCCTAAAACAATGTGGCCAACCCAGGAAGGAAGTGGAGAGGCCTGCTGGCCTGGCTGGGAAGGAATCCAGCAGGGGCCTTGCTCGGTTTCCTCCTAGCACCAGGGGAAGTAAACACATTCCGAGGCTGTGCAGGCATTCACGGGCCCGCGCCACCCCACCAGCTGCTGGGGCCTCAGGTCCCTGGCTAGTGGCCTGTTGTGTTACAGAAGGGAGGGCCCAGAGAGGGCACATGACTCACCCAGGGTCAGAGCGGTAGCTGCCTCTGGCCCAGAGCACAGAGGTGAAAAGGACACAGCGTATCTCTCCCCTCCCCAATCCTGGATGGGGCTGCTCAGATGCAGGGACTGCTGGGCCAGCTCCCAGCCAGGGTGGGGGCCTCTCTGAGCATCAGCATCTGGTCTTGGCGAGGACTGTGAGGAGGAGGGCACTGGGGCCCCCTGACGAGGCGGGAAGGGCCTGTAGGGAAGCCCCTGGCCCTACCTCCCTACTGTGCAGATGAGGACAGCAAGGCCCAGAGGGCAGGGCCCGGCCCCAGCTGCACAGCAGGAGAGGGACTAAGCAAAGACCAGAACCCAGGTCCTGTGGAGAATGGCTTCGCATGCGCGTGTGTGTCTGTGTGTCTGTGTGTCTGTGTGTCCCTGACACCGCCCATCCTCTTCAGCCCTCACCCCGCCCCCTCCTCCCCTCAGCCCTGTCTGGCCCTCCGCACACATTGATTCTTCTGCCCAGAATTCCCTCCTTGACCCTTCTGGACCAGGCAAACTCCCACCCGTACTTCAAACCCGGTCTGAGCTTTCCCACCACGCAGAGCAGCCGGCCCGGGGGCAGGGTGGGTCCTGCGGTGGCTGCGGTCCTGGGGGACCCATGCCGGGCCTCCGATCCCAGAGGCCGGAAACCTGGCTCTGGGCAGCAGGTGGGGCTGATTCACATGGGAAGACAGGGCGGGTTGGGTGTGACCCGTGTGTAAAAAGTCTGAGTGCCTCCTGAGAAGTGCCTAGGTTCTGGGCTGGGAGAGCGGGTCCTGATTTGCCTCTCCCTGGGCTGTGGGACCTGGAGGGAGTTCTTCCACCCCTCAGGGAGATCTCATCAAGACAGAGAGTCCTGGGTCTAGAGCTAGAAGCACGAGGCAGTTTTCTTTCTCTTTTTTTTCCATCATATACATTTTTTCTGCAATACATAGCTTTATTATTAACTTTCAAGGCAAAATTCATATACCATGAAATGTACAGATTTTAGTGTACAATTTGATAAGTTTTATCAAATGTATATGCCTATCAAATCAACACTCCAAGTTTTCAACTCTTGTGCCAGCTGCAGCTGATTAATAGTAGAGCTGTCTGGGGTGGCTGGGTTAAGGAGGATTCAGAGGGAGGGCGTCTGGTGGAAGACCTGTCACTTACTTGATACCGGTAGGCTGGGCATCTCTGAGGGCCCTCCCTGTCCTGATGAACATACCCCCCCTCCCCCCGTCGTGATCTGAATCAGCAGGGCCCCAGGATAGGCAACAGGGCTGCGTCTCTCCCCGCCCCGCCCCTGCAAGCCTCTGGTCACCACACACAGGAGAGAGCCCCGCATCTCAGAGGAGATAAGGGTCCTTCTCAGGCGAGTGGGCCTCTGGCTATGGGCTCCAGCCCTTTCCCCTCTGTTGGCTCCAGATAAACATTCTTTCCAGCTTGTTTCCCCCGCTGCTTTTCTTCCTGAGCTGCCGCTGGCTTATTCTGGCCAGGTCAGCAGAGAACAGGCCTCTGCAAGCACGCGGCTAAGCGGCTTCCTGCCTGCCGCCAGGAGGGGCTGAGGGCGCTGGGCTGGAGAACGAGAGGAGGAGGGCTGGGAGGCTGAAGTCCGTCCCGCGCGATAAGCAGCCTTGGACGTTGCCCGGAGAAGGAATTTCCTGTTGCTGCCCCCTTTCTCCCTTGTGCGTGTGGCTCCCGTCCTTCCTCCAGCGCCACGGTGTCTGGGCCCTCAGAGGGCTCAGTAGGTCAGAGAGGCCCCCTGGAGTTTCTCGCGGGTAAAATGGGAGCTAGAGCACTGAACTCATTTTGATAGGTGATGGCTAAGAAATTTTACTGGGTTGACTAGTGCACCCCCCTCCCCCAAATTCACATCCACCTGGAAGTTGTGAATGTGACCTTCTTTGGAAATAGGGTCTTGGCGGGTGTAATCCAGTTAAGATGGGTCTTGCTGGGTCAGGGTGAGCCCCAAATCCGACATGCCTGGGGTCCTCATGGGAAATTTGGACACAGAGACAACATGGAGATACCCACAGAGAGAAGCCATGTGAAGACAGAGTGATACCGTCCCAAGCCAGGGAACGCTGGAAGCTACCAGAAGCTGGAAGAAGCCGGGAATGATTCTCCCCCACTGGCTTTGGAAGAAGCGTGGTCTAGCTGACACCTTGATTCTGGA